TGTCCTCTCTCTCTCTCTGATTTCTGACTCTATCCACTGTCCTCTCTCTCTCTGGTTTCTGACTCTATCCACTGTCTCTCTCTCTCTCTGGTTTCAGACTCTATCCACTGTCCTCTCTCTCTCTCTGGTTTCAGACTCTATCCACTGTCCTCTCTCTCTCTCTGGTTTCTGACTCTATCCACTGTCCTCTCTCTCTCTCTCTGGTTTCTGACTCTATCCACTGTCCTCTCTCTGCATTAAAGGCACAAAAAGCCCAAAAAAGAAATCTTTAAAAAAAGAAATTGAGACTACTGCATCAGTCTCATCGTCCAAAACACTAAAGCAACTACTGCTTCTCACACACTCCCTCACCAGAGACCACATCACCCCCGTCCTTCATAACCTCCACTGCCCCCCACCTGTCTGAGCTCCTCTACTCACTCTCTGCTGATCCAAACCTCCTGTCCCGACTCCCCCCCCCCCCCCCCCATCAGTCCTGGGGGGACAGAGCCTTCTCCATTGCCACGCCCACCCTCTGGAACTCACCCCCAAAAACAATCAGAGACCCCCCCATGACCTACAACCACTAACACACTCTGTCCTCATCCTCCTTCTCTTACATTATGTCTCTGTTGTTTTGTTTTCACTGTTTTGTTCTGTTGTTGTTCTTTGAGTTATTAGAAAAGCACAATAAAGGTCTAATATATTATTATTATTATTTTTATTAAACTCTGCAGATTTGTCTCCCCACATGAATGCGATTTGTCTCCTATATGGAAGCGCGTTGCATTCATGTGGGGAGACACATGAGTACATATTTGCTCTGAATAATAAATTAAAGCCTGTCTCATTTCACCCCCCTTCCCAAATGAAGGCTCTGTCACTTCATACTGAAACCAATTAAAGTATTTTCCCTCTTTAAACTAAAAACTCCTCAAAGTGTTCAGCAGATCATCTTCTATATTAGAAATGTTTTCTAACAGAATGAATCAGGTGATCCTTCAATAGAGCCTGTGGACTGCATGCACATCATTTCTGTCTTCACCTGCAACCTATCAAAATAAAACTTTATCATATTTACAAGAAAGAGTCACACAAAGAAATAAAAAACAAGGTATGATTTATTTTTATATATAGATATTTAAACAAAACACAACTTTATGACATCAGTTTGTTTTCTGTCACACCGACTCATTAAAGGTCTTATTGTGACTTTAATTTATCTCTCTGAAGATAAATGGAGTAGTTAGATTGATTTAAATAAATGTTATTCCTCAGTTTGGGAGCTAGCCACAACTTTTAGCCGGCTAACTTCTCAGATGTAAAGTATTTATCTGTTTTTTTAAACAGCTTCAGTTAAAGTTCAGGTAGGAGGATTTATTCGTGTTCTTTTAACTCAAATATAAACATATATAAAGAGCTGACTCTTACTTGTAGGCTGATAAATCCAGGAGAGAACATGCATGAGTATTTACATCGCTGCTTCACGCTGCTCTGCAGAGATCAGCTGATCACCTCTTCTTCTTCTTTTTTTATTGGCGGTTGACAAACTACGAATTGGTGCATTACCGCCACCAGCTGGTAGGGAGCGGAACTAATGTAATCTAACGTGTCAACCATAGACTGTAAATATATGAATATTAATATCAACTTCTCTAATAAATATGAACTCACTCAATTATTTTTCAGAATGTTAAAGACTCCATCACTAAGATATGTAGTGAATTAAATGATAAAATAACCATAGTGAGTGAGTACAGCCAGTCAATTCAATTCAGAAAGCTTTATTATCATGAGTGTTACATAAACAATATTTCCAAAGTATGAATACAAAACAAAATAATATCAACAGTAATCAATGATGTAGCATGTCTATGTTTACAGCTTATGATGGACACACACAGTAGAATATAATGTTCCGGTTGCTTTGCAACAGTCTAGTTTCCGTTAAATTGCAGTTGAGTTAAAAAATAATCTGTTATTGATTTTAAAGTTGTGTTTTTTTAACACTATTTTCTGCTTGTATGATTTGTTGTAAAAGTAATCTCACACCCGTATATTCATTAATTCACATTTCATAAATAAACAACAAAAACAAAACTAAAAATTAAAAATAACCCTAACCCAATTTATATTTTTTCCAAATTAAGCTTTTTTTTTTTTCTTTTTTTTGGATAAAAATACTGGATACTGGATAAAACAAATACGACGGAGGATTAGGGCCACGTTAAAAAAAAATAGGAGATTAAAGTCGTAAATTTACTAGATTAAAGTCGAAATTAAAAAAAATTAAAAATTAAATTTACGACTTTAATCTCGAAATCTCGTAAACAAATATTTATGAATATCCATATTTCTTTAGGGGGATATCTTAAATAATATCATATATTTAAATGTGTAGTTTTGCTCTCTTTCTTGTTCAGCTGTTATTTCCAAACCCCTCACCGGAAGTCAGCTGTCATCCCTACATGATGGTCCTTTAAAGATGGCGGAGCGCTTGGCTGCACGTTTGACCGCACAAGAGGAGCAGATTCTCCTCCTCACCACGGAGATATCCGCTCTCAGGGACGGGTTGATCCGAGGTGTGGATACCGCGGCTGTCACCTCTGTCTCCCCGGAGCTGGAGAGCCTGCAGACCGAGAACGAGAAGCTGAAATACCGGCTGCTGCACCTCCGGAGGGGTCTGCGGCGGGAGGAGGGGGCGCTGCAGGAGGTACAAGGGAAGAAACTTCCAGGAGTGAAGAATGAGAAAGCTCTGCAGAAAACTACCAGTGCAGAGCAGACGACTAACAACCGAGCTGATAATAAGGTAGGAATAAACATGTGTAGGCCTACAGTGATTGTTAATTTGGTGTTGCACCAGGTTGCATCACGGGCCTCTCTCACGTGGAGCCAAATGACAAACTATAACACCCCCTCTCCAGGAATAGCTGCCTACCTCAGTGCTACAGTCTGTGCACACTTTAGATACATACTGCCATGTTCACTGATATCAATATGAAGCCCAAAGTTAAACACGAAGGAGATCACAGCTCCAGAAAAACAAACTGAGACCAAAATCAAATCTGTTTTTTCTCTAGTTCCATTATTTACAGGTGTGTCAAATAATCTCATTAAGGTGTTTTTTATTTCTCATAAAACAAAAATATATATATATATATATAAATATATATATATATATATATATATATATATATATATATAAACAAAACATGGGTTAGGGCTGGGCAGTAATATTCCATATTGCCACAAATGGTATAGTAATGTGCATAACAAGTAAGACAAACAAGTCTCTGTGGCAGTAATACCTGATATAGTGCAATAGCCCATCCCCCCCTCCCATCCCCAGCTGTCCTGAAAAAATGAAGGCGTAACATCTAAGAGTTAGTTTGCAGCGCACCACACAGAGTCAGATCAACAATCAATATTTAGTGGAATAACTTTCATGTTTAATCACAGCTTTTATGCGTCTTGGGCTTGGCGTGCCCTTCAGTCTTTCACATTACTGTTTGCATGGACGGATCATCATGACCACCGACCCTGGACTCAAACAAGCCTCGGACCCCTACCAGTACCTACACACACAAATGTTACATGTGCTCTGCGGGAGCCCTGCGCCATAACCCGGTCTGGGTTCTTCACAGAAAACAAACCCCTAAATGTTGGAATGTTAACTTTCTGGTCCTCATTCTGGTCCTCATTCTGGTCCTCGTACAGTCTTAAAGGTAAAACAGTGAACTACATGTGGAACTTCTTTATCTGATGACTCATATGAGCGGTATCTCAAAGTTATTGTTCCTTTCTTCCTTTTATAAACATCAAATACAGTTGTGCTCATAAGTTTACATACCTTGGCAGAATTTGTGATTTTGTTGGTCATTTTTCAGAGAATATGAATGATAATACAAAAATATTTCTTTCACTCATGGTTAGTGGTTGGGTGAAGCCATTTATTATCAAACAATTGTGTTTGCTCTTTTTCAATCATAATAACAACAGAAACTACCCAAATTACCCTGATCAAAAGTTTACATACCCTGGAGGTTTTGGCCAGATAACATACACACAAATGGCTACTGAAGGTAACCTGCCTCACCTGTGATCTGTTTGCTTGTATAAAAAGTCAGTGAGTTTCTGGGCTCCTGACAGACCCCTGCATGTTTCATCCAGTGCTGCACTGACGTTGCTGGATTCTGAGCCATGGGGAAAGCAAAAGAATTATCAAAGGATCTGCGGGAGAAGGTAGTTGAACTTTATAAAACAGGAAAAGGATATAAAAAGATATCCAAGGATTTGAGAACGCCAATTAGCAGTGTTCAAACTCTAATTAGGAAGTGGAAAATCAGGGATTCTGTTGAAATCAAGCCATGGTCAGGTAAACCAACAACAATTTCAGCCACAACTGCCAGGAAAATTGTTCGGGATGCAAAGAAAAACCCACAAATAACTTCAGCTGACATACAGGACTCTCTGTTTCAAGATGCACAATAAGGAGGCACTTGAAGAAAAATGGGCTGCATGGTCGAGTCGCCAGAAGAAAGCCATTGCTACGCCAATGCCACAAAGCAGCTCACTTACAATACGCCAAACAGCACAGAGACAAGCCTCAAAACTTCTGGAACAAAGTTATTAGGAGTGATGAGACCAAAATGGAACTTTTTGGCCACAACCATAAACGCTTCATTTGGAGAGGAGTCAACAAGGCCTACGATGAGTACACCATTCCTACTGTGAAACACGGAGGTGGATCGCTGATGTTTTGGGGATGTGTGAGCTACGAAGGCACAGGGAACTTGGTCAAAATTGATGGCAAGATGAATGCAGTATGTTATCAGAAAATTCTGGAGGAAAATTTGCACTCATCAGCCCGGAAGCTGAGCATGGGGCGTAATTGGACGTTCCAACATGACAATGATCCAAAACACAAGGCCAAGTTGACATGACATTGGCTACAGCAGAGAAAAGTGAAGGTTCTGGAGTGGCCATCTCAGTCTCCTGACCTTAATATCATTGAGCCACTTTGGGGAGATCTAGAAACGTGCAGTTCATGCAAGACAGCCCAAGAATTTACAGGAACTGGAGGCTTTTTGCCAAGAAGAATGGGCAGCTTTACCATCTGAGAAAATTAAGTGCCTCATCCACAACTACCACAGAAGAGTTCAAGCTGTAATTGATGTCAAAGGGGGCAATACAAAGTATTAAGAACTAGGGTATGTAAACTTTTGATCAGGGTAATTTGGGTAGTTTCTGTTGTCATTATGATTGAAAAAGAGCAAACACAATTGTTTGATAATAAATGGCTTCACCCAACCACTAACCATGAGTGAAAGAAAAGTTTTTGTATTATCATTCATATTCTCTGAAAAATGACCAAAAAATCACAAATTCTGCCAGGGTATGTAAACTTATGAGCACAACTGTAGTTTGTAGTTCCAGGTAGCACGTAGAAACAGCTGTTTGCAGATTGCAGCTCGCTCCCTCGTTGACTGTCCCTTCCCTTTCCTGAAAAAAAACACAAAAAGCAAGACTGCTAAACAAAATGTTTCAATCGCAAAAATGCCTAAAATTAAAAAAAATATTGAAGGCCAAGACTCCCCTTCACCAGGGATCAACCTGTGACTGTTGGGTGATGTGGACGCAAAAATTGAAGCTGCTCAGCTTTGGTTCGATGAAGTCTTTTTCAGACGAAGACCAAATCAGTGAGTCAATAAGTAGAAGGAGGTTTTGTCTGTGTCGACATTCAACAGAATTTTGCTTCCATGCGTGCAGAGATTCTGATTTAAGGAACATCTGGAGAAGTCGGGTCATGTTTATGCAGAGCTGCGAGGCCTCTAGTAAGAATAAATCTCACACGCACACTCACCCTTCTCTTTCTGTGGACAGGTGCCGCCTCCAGATAAAAAAACAGCTGATGGAAACAACAAGAAGGAGAAGAAGCAGGAGAAGGGAGGAGGAGGAGGAGGAGGAGGAGTGAAAGAGGTAATTATTGTGCAAGAGCTTGAAATGATTCATATAATAACAAAAGGATGTTTTCACTGTGGTCTCTGTCTCTAACGACTCGAGAAGAGACAGATCGATGCTCTTTTTTATTTATTTTATAACCAGGGAAATCTAGTCGACATTAAAAATCTCTTTTTCATGAGAGCCCAAATATTGACCAACACAGAGCAGCCATACATACCAACATAATACAAGGTACATAATTATAATACATTAAAAATATTTGTCAATATCGTCTAAAAACATTTAAAACTCCTCCTTTGTTTTGACTCTGAGGAAGACAATGAAAAGTTCGTCCTTTGTATCTTCATAAACTTGCCGTCAGTGATCGATGTGTTCCAGAACTTTCTTTGGATTCTGCCTGTGAATTATTTCTGAGGTCCTCTGTCCTCCTCTGAGGGCACCGACCTCGATCTGTGGAGGGGCTGGAGTGCAAGAGTTTGACTTCTAGTTTGTCGTCATCACTCGGCTACGTTTCATGTCTTTTGTTTATTCAATAGGTGGTGATTAAAATGTATTTATTGTCTTGTTTTTTAAAATATTTTCCGCTGTAGCTGAAGCCCTGGCCCGAGTACATCTCCCAGCGCCTCAGTCTGTACGAGGAGCTGAAGAAGGAGAGCGACGCCCTGCTGAAGAAGAAAGCTGTCGACAGTAAACCCATCACGGTGGAGCTGCCTGACGGGCGTCGGGTGGAGGGGAAGGCCTGGATCACCACACCCTACCAGTTAGCTTCAGATATCAGGTAAATAAACACCTGGAGAGATTTAGAGTCCATGTGCAGCCATGAGTGCAAATATTGAATTTTCCCTCTAGAGAGTAAGTTCTCTGAAGGGTGATTTCACAGTTTCAGCGTCGTTTATTTCCACTGAATAGATGATAGAAATATTACATGAAATGCTGACAGAGCTCTTTTTTTTTTCCAGCCAGGGCCTCGCTGACAACGCGGTGATTTCCCGGGTGAATGGAGCCCTGTGGGACCTGGACCGACCTCTGGAGCAGGATTGCTCTCTGGAGATCTTACGCTTTGATAACGAGGATGCACAGGCAGTGAGTACTTAAGAACAAAAAAAAAACACCTACAGCAGGAAAAAGTGTCACATACATCAACATTTTCTTATTTCAAAATCATCCTAAGTGTCTTATCTTAAATAGAATGTAGTCATGATGATCTGAGAGAGTTGATCTGCAGCAGCTAAAGACGGCAACAAGTCAGTGAGGTCCTTCTAATGCAGCAAACACAAACACATCCTCATCCTGCAGAGTGTTTGGGTTGCATGATTTCTGCTGCAAGGAAAGTGAGAGTTCACTGTTTAAAGTGGCTCCTCAGGGTTCAGAGATATTTGGATCTGTATTTTTTTTCTCGTTCCAGGTGTATTGGCACTCCAGCGCTCACATCCTGGGCGAGGCCATGGAGCGCTTCTACGGAGGCTGTTTGTGTTACGGACCCCCCATCGAGAACGGTTTCTACTACGACATGTTCCTGGATGGACAGAAGTGAGCAAATATTTTTACTTTCACAGATTTCGCAAACGACTTTTTCATTTTTCTTCTTGACTGAGACTTAGAAGGCTCCGTGCAACACAAAAAAAACAGTGTGTGTGTGTGCGTGCGTGCGTGCGTGTGCGCCCGTCCGTCCGTCCGTCCCATAAATGCATCGATTGAGCTACAACAATTATGTCAAAACTGAAGCGTCTTGTAGCTTAGTTTGAATATTTTGCTGCCGATGCTTTACTGCACTCTCCAGAGTTAGGATAATCAATATGATACGCTTCATCATTGAAAAGCCTTCTCGTGTGCGTGTGCGTGTGCGTGTGCGTGTGTGTGTGTGGTCACACTCACTCTGCACACAACATCATGGTGTATCTGCACTCATACTATAATAATGCTAACAGTAAGTGAGTATGGGGCGGTCGCAAGTCTAAACATTCTGACATTCTGGCTCCGGTGCATCAAAAACAAGCAGTCAGTCGTTTTCAAAATAAAACTTACATTTTCTTTCTACAATGTGGGAAGGAAACTGTTCATCAAAAATATTTCATGACACAAACCTCCCATCAAAGGATGATTGGTTAGCAATAATCAATGAAATACACTGCATGGAGAGACTGACCTTCTCATTAAGGCTAAAGTTTGACCAATATATAAAAGTCTGGAAGAAATGGAATATGTACTGTACGGAATGTAACTCATCTTAATTTAAAAAACCCTGATTTGTGTATTTTGACTAATGTATGGCCAATGTTACCTTTTTCTTTCTTTCCTTTTTTTATTCCCTTCTTTTCTTTTGTCTTGTTTTACTCTGAAAATATCAATGAAAAGAAAGTATCAAGAGAAATTTCATGACTAAGATACAGTAGCCCCCCTATCTAGTTGTGTTTTTGTGGTTATTGATGCAATGTAATTATGCAGCCTATAGTTCAAAATGTTTTAGTGAACTCCAGGAAGATTAGCCTCAGCTTAGGCCACGGCTAATGGAGATCTGAATAAATGAAATTAATGAATGAATTAAATGAATAGAGAGATGTCAGCTTGAGACCAAACTTACTTGTCGACCCCCTCTCAAAAATCATTCCCAACTCTCTCTCTCTCTCCCTGATTTCCTAAGCGATCCAAATAAAAAGGCTAAAAGCCCAAAAATTAATCTAAAAAATCATTCAGAACCCAAATATCTGATATTTGAAATCCAAGACTTTAGATTTGTTAGTTTGTAGACTTTCTATGAACGTCTGCTTGTATTTAATGACAATACTTTGTAGAAACCTTTCATTTAAATATTTGCTGTTTTTTTCTAAGTCCTCAGAGGTTCCTTTTGTCCCACCGGTGTATTTCCTCTGAGTCACATACTTCTGTCTTATTTGAATCAAGGGTCTTTGCCATAAAAAGTAGATGTTTGCTGTTTTTAGGGGCGTGTCCAGCGCTGAGTTTGGGGACCTGGAGACTTTGTGTAAGACTGTGGTGAAGGACAAGCAGCCCTTTGAGAGGCTGGAGATCAGCAAGGAGACCCTGTTGAAGATGTTTAAGGTGAGAAAGACAGAGCCTGGATGCTCCCAGTTCACGACTTTCCGACTCCTCATGTGTTCACGTGCTTTTAGTTTGGAAATCCTGAATGTTGTAACAAACATCATGGACGCTACCAAGAACGTGTGAGGAATTAAGGAACTGTTTCATCTTTCAGTACAACAAGTTCAAGTGTCGCATCCTGAATGAGAAAGTCACCACCCCCACCACTACAGTCTACAGGTAAGAAACTCTACCTGTTTACATTACATCATGTGTGACGTCTTTGTATGTTATTTTAATCTTTGTGGTGTTCATGAATCCTGTTCAGATGTGGACCCCTGATCGACTTGTGCAGAGGCCCCCATGTCAGACACACAGGCAAGATCAAAGCCATGAAGATATATAAGGTAAGTGGAAGTTCAGTTTGTCCAGAATACACAAACTGTTAACGGATAAGTACTGATCTCAGATCGTTTAATTTTAGTTTTTAACTTTAAGGAGCTTTAGCTCAACTGTGGCTTGTTTTTTTTTTATTTAAATTTTTTTTTTTTTATCTGCCTGTCTTGTAAACTTGTACTTAAGCACGGGGCAAATGGACCGAGTGTGGGTGCACCCTGACACCTAGCTTCTTCTAATAGATGTAAAGTACATAAAATACTGTTGTTGTGGTGATGATATAGGTGGGATAACTTTGAGAGATGAGGATGCCTTTGATTTGTAATCCTGCTGTCGATTTTCTGTGAGCAGAGATAATCTCACCGGTCCAACAACAGAGAACCGTTAAATAACTTTAAGTTTTAGCGGAATACACAATCTGTAAACTGATAAACGACAGTTAACAGAAGTTATTTAAATACGTTTCTCTGTTCAGAGACACTAACGGCTCGAGAGGAAACCAACTGCTGCATTAACAATTGATGTTCACTGATTGGCCACAGGAAGTGAAAACATCATATCTGCGACAATATTTCAGTTAGTTTTGACGTTACACTCCTTACGTCTCCGTGGTAACCAAACAGTGACAGAACTTAAGTTAGAACCTAAGACACGACTTCCTCTTATGTGTTGCAGCTGTTGTTGATTTTTACCTTCTCTTTCTACTTCCTGCTTCTTTAACTGTTTTATAAAAGTAATAACCTGTTAGAGGTCGTGATGTTGTCCTGAATATGATCCCTGCTGTGACTCAGTCTCGTGATATTTCTTAAATATCCTCCGAGCAGCTCTTCCTGCCCCACACTCTTTAAAAAACTGCTGACGGCGCATCTTTCCCCCTCTGTCATCAGAACTCTGCTACCTACTGGGAGGGCCGCTCCGACATGGAGACTCTGCAGAGGATCTACGGGATTTCCTTCCCAGACTCAAAGATGCTGAAGGAGTGGGAACGCTTTCAGGAGGAGGCCAAGAACAGAGACCATCGCAAGATCGGCAAAGTGAGTCACTGCAGGGCAGGGGGGCAGGCGGGCGGACGGGTCCAGGCCCACCCGGGTGGCTGTGGTCTGGATCTGAAACGTAAAACCCAGAACAAAGAGAGTCGGGATTCTTACTCGTAAGAAGAGATGCCTGACACAAGTCCTTTTGAGGTTTCAGTCCTCGTCAGAGTCTCCAGTTGTGGTTTATAGATATGGTAAGAACCTGAAGCCAAAAGACTCCAGAAGAACTCTAAAGACGAGTGAAACATTAGTCATTGGAAAGTCCAACACGACAGAGAAGCTGTGATCTAATTTTCCCTACTTGGAATTATAAAGACTCAACCATAGAGCTGAGCAATTAATCAAAAAATTAATCGAAACTGACATTCAGAACCTCTAACCGACATAATCTTGCCCATGTCGATTATTTTGATTATTTTCAGGGCAGACACATTTCTTCTTTAGGGAAGACGACACCGAAACAAAAAGAAGTCAAATGTAAAACACTGCGGAAAAACAGTTTGCAATAAATGCAGGTTATTTATTTTCTAGTGTTTTAAAGAAGTTAATTTCTACTTTAAAACTAAAATGTGTCATTTTCATTTCAAGCGATGCTTTGATTTGTTTGAAATATTCAATAAATAACCTCAAAATACTAATCAGATATTCACTCTCTCATTAGAAAACATATCCCAGCTTTGATAGTTGATCATATTTACAGTAGAGAGCATGTCAGTGAACTATGAGGGCAAAAAACAAAATAATCGTTCATTAATCGTCATCGAGGTCAAATGTTCAATTGATCGTGATATTGATTTGAGGTCATATCGGGTAAGAGGGATTTAAAGGGCGCTGTGTTTATTTGACACATGCACTCCTGATGATTCCTTGAAAATGTCGGGACAGCGTGCACCAGAAGTTTTCCAAACGTTTTATTCATACATGTCCATTACAGTCAGACATGAGAGGGGCGTGTCCAGACGTTTTTTTGACTGGGGCGACCCAACTGGTGCTCTAGTTTGTGTTCAAACGCCATGAATTAATTTAATTTATTGGCCAGACAGTAATATCGGCCGTTATTAACATATACCCCCCCTGTACTCACTTATTTTGACTTTAAGAAAGGGGAAATGAAAAGCTGCCTCCAGGTTTTACAGATTTATTATCATTGATCAAAAGTTGTATTTTTGCTTCACAGGATCAGGAGCTGTTCTTCTTCCATGATCTCAGCCCTGGCAGTTGTTTCTTCATGCCACGAGGCGCCTACATCTACAACACGCTCACAGAGTTCATCAGGGTAAGAAGCTCGTCTTATTTAAAAACGTTTGATGAAATCCTGTCAGGGCAGGAGTACGAGAGAGCTAAGCTAAAGAGCCAAGATGAGAACACAGTTGAAGAGCTGTGAAGGTTTATTGGAGTTCAGGACGATGATATTGTGTATGAACTCTTACACATAAAAGCTTCTTGTATTGAGTTATTTGTGATGTTTTTAATCATACAGATTCTGATTAAAGGAGCAATATGTACCTCTGACACCTAGTGTTTAAAATGTGTACTGCAGCTTCAGTGTTTATCCAGCTCTGCATGGGTCTGTAAACCTTTCTGTGTTCTAACCTCTCTCCATTTTTCAAAAGCATCTCCAATATTGATCCTAGTTTGAGCACGTTTCTGCTCGTGGAGCTTATTAGAAACATGCAGAGGCTTTTTAGGTCGGGTACAATCACTTCTATCTGAACCACTTCTCTTGACCGCTTCCATCGCTGCAACACCTGTTGACCTGATAACTGCTCTCATATCTGGCAAACAAAGGGGCGTCCAAAACGGCTGTGTGGGGGGGGTCGCCTTAAAAGCGCCTACCTTCTCTGGTCCAAACAAATCCAGAGCATTCAGGAGCAGAATCTAAAGTTAGAAGGAGGACATACTGGCTGCTGCATTGTTGTCAGAGAAGCCAGCACTTCAACATAGCATGTTTCCTTAATGATCATATAGTAAGCTCACTTTATCATTTCACTCACTACACATCTCACTGACTGGACCTTTAATACTTTGCATCAATTAATTGTCATTTAGAAAGTACCTTTGAAAAGCCCTTAAAGGAGCAATCTGTCAGTATTCTCCTGAATTAAATCATAAAATGACAGTTTTTAACCCTAACCCACAAATGTAAAAACAGAACACAAAGGATCTGATTTCCTTGAAGTCTGTGTCAGAGGTCAGGATCTGGCTCAGCTCGGTGAAGTATCTGTGCAGTCATCTTCTCTTGTTTATGTGCTTTGTCTCTGATTTTCTAGGATGAGTACTGGAGAAGAGGCTTCCAGGAAGTGGCTTCTCCGAACATTTATAACAGCAAACTGTGGGAGACGTCGGGCCACTGGCAGCACTACAGCGAGAACATGTTCTCCTTCCCGGTGGAGGAGGACATCTTTGCACTCAAGCCCATGAACTGCCCCGGACACTGGTACAGTCACAACACGTTTTAACATCAATCCAACATCACACAATGCGTTCTCAGTCGTTTTGATTTCTCGCTCCCTGTCTGTTTCGCAGTCTGATGTTCGGCCACAGGCCTCGCTCGTGGAGGGAGCTTCCCCTGAGGCTGGCGGATTTCGGGGTCCTGCACAGAAACGAGCTGTCGGGGACTCTGACGGGGCTGACCCGAGTGCGGCGTTTCCAGCAGGATGACGCTCACATCTTCTGCACCATGGATCAGGTGACCACATCGGGGCTTTACACTACACAAGATGGACGTACAAGAATAACTTAGTTTTTCTCTCTTTATCTACTTTAATGTCAATCATCTTTTTTTTTTTTCTTCTTCCTTCTTTTTTAAAGATCGAGACAGAGATGAAGGGCTGTCTGGATTTCCTCCGCTGTGTTTACGATGTGTTTGGATTCTCCTTCCAGCTTCACCTCTCCACCCGTCCAGAGAAGTTTCTGGGTGACATCGCCGTCTGGAACCAGGCTGAGAGGGTAAACGGCCTCCTGCACTGAGATTGTGATTGAAAATTAATCTTTAGCTTCTGTTTGAACCCGAGAAGATCAGACTTTGTTCTCTAATTATGAGACGGTGTTTAAATGGAAATAAAAAACGCAGGATCTTTGCTGTTCTGTATCACATAAAGTCTGTTTACACTGTGTTCAAAACAATTAACACACGCTCTCTGCTACACTTCCTGCCGTTATTGGAGTTGTGTCAGTGTGTGTTTTGTAAAGTACATTGAGGATGCACTATATGCATCGTGCATTGTGATTCGTTGTGCTGTTAAAATCCACAGAACAGTCATGACTAGCTGAGGAGTCTGCATCCAAAAAAAACAACCCAATCCATGAAATGAACCCATGATCTGGTATGATTGTGCATTTGATTTGATGTACGACAGTGTGACCTGGGGCCCGTTTCAGAAAGCAGGTTCAGTGAAAAATTCTGAGTCTGTTAACCCTGGAACGAGGGGAACTCTGGGTTTTCCGTTTCAGAAAGCGAGGTCACTCAAACCTGAGAAAGAGGGGTAATGGTGCGTTTCCATTTGATCCCAAGTTGCCGGTCTGATCCGTCATCAGGAACGCCCCCTGAAGTCAGAATTCCGACTCGTAAACCCGGAGAATCTTCAGTAGCTCGAGTTCAAATCCAATATGGCTGCTACGTGCATCGACAGGGATGTAACTGTTGCAACTGTTTATTAGCAGCTTAGTCGTCTTTTTGTGTAATTAAATCAGACCGATGGTATCGTGCACGTTCTGTCTGTGGAGGTGTTTTCATGTTATTTTCACGTCGTGTGTTGTTATCGTCTGGTGTTAGCTAACAAAACAAAGGTACTCCCCGGAGGCGTCCATGTTGCTTTTTCCAACTTAGAACTGGAACGTAGTTTACTCGGGTGTGACGTCATTCCCAGATCCGAGTTCAGAGGTAAATGTAACGCAGCATAACTCCAGCCCGTTCCACAGAGAGAGGTAACTTTAGCTCTGAGCCTGTTACTATGGTTACTGAGTCTATGACCTGGTCGGGAGCAGCTTTTCTTTAATTACTGTTGGCTTTTTATAGCCGAGTGAACCTTCTCAGAGTTGATGAAACAAATTCAAATCAGCTGATCTGGAACCAGAATCTCAGAGTTTCCCACTTGAGGGTAAATCTGTTCAGAGCTCAGCGGTGGACTGAGAGTTTGTTAAAACGGGCCCCTGGTCCGACTCTGCTTCCCAGTCCTTGTTGAGATTTCATCACCGTTCTAATCTTTGTCTCGTGTTCGACAGCAACTGGAGAACAGCTTGAATGAGTTCGGGGAGCCATGGAAACTCAACCCAGGAGACGGTGCTTTCTACGGCCCAAAGGTCAGACCCCCCCCTCTTCATCATTCCTATACAAATTGAAAAACAGTTTCATCCCGAGGGCTTTAAAGTTCTGCATTTCCTCTGTTTCTGTTGCAGATCGACATTAAAATCAAAGACGCAATCGGACGTTACCACCAGTGTGCGACCATTCAGCTGGACTTCCAGCTGCCCATCCGCTTCAACCTGACCTTTGTGGGGTGAGTCACCCTATAAAAACCCTGAGGCTGCACGCCGTCCTGCACCCGGGCGGTTGTTGCTCAGTTGGTAGAGTCGGTCCAAGGAGCCCAAGAAACGGTCTAATTTAACATCTAAACGTTACATCTTAACAGCCTTTCTGATGCACCTGTTTCTGCAGGAAGGACGGGGATGACAAAGGCCGACCTGTCATCATCCATCGCGCCATCTTGGGCTCGGTGGAGAGGATGATCGCCATCCTCACAGAAAACTACGCTGGGAAATGGTGAGGCGCTTCATGGCCTTTATGGCATTATTTCATCATCACACAGCATCACCCGGGTGTTCCTTCCTCTCAGGGTCAACGGGCATGTAAAGGTGTTTTATCTCTGTGAAGTGGGCTTCATTAAAGTCCCTCTCTGTCTGTTCCTCCAGGCCTCTGTGGCTCTCTCCTCGTCCGGTCATGTTAGTGCCCGTCAACCCCTCCTGCGAGGACTACGCCAAGAAGGTCAGTCTTAGACCGGGTTTCACACCAAGCCTGTTTGGTTCAAGTTAGTGCAGATCGTTTGCCCTGCTGTGAAATCTGCTGCGGACCAAACAACTGTACAGAGACCGATTCAAAAGGAGGGTCTCAGTCCGCTTTATTTCAGACTCTGGAGCGATCCGTTTGCAGTCAGAACATGAAGAGACCTCGATCAGACCCAAAAGCAGGAAGTAACCACCGTGGGCAGAAACAGTTTGTGTGGATGAGCAGGTCCTGGTTCAGAAGGATTAATGTGCTCCTTCCTCAACATATTATTCTTTTGAGCTGTGCCTCATTTTCAAACTGTATCCATGGCAACAGTGATTAATGCAAACAATATAAAAAGAGATGAGCAGAGCCGAAGTTGGTCCGTGTCGTCGTCTGTCTGTTTAGAGATTGTAAAGTGTCTTTGGAGCAGCCACAGCCAATCAGGAGTCAACTACACTTTGTTAACTTGAGGGGATTCTTCACACACCGACCAATCAGAGAGCATTTATTCGCACATCACACATTTTTAACGGCTTGTAAACGTCCCCATGTGAAAACAGATTAAATGGAAGTAACTGATTCAGACCAGAGCAAACGATCCAAAGGAGTGAAATCACTTCCTAATTTGGACCCCATTTTACTAGAATCATCTTCATTAACTTCATCTTTGTGAATGTTTGATCTTCCCGTCAGGTGTGTAAGCAGTTCACAGAAGCTGGTTTCATGGCGGACGCCGACCTGGACTCTAGCTGCCTCCTTAACAAGAAGATCAGAAACGCTCAGTTGGCCCAATATAACTTCATTCTGGGTGAGAAAATTTAACATTTGTCAGCCTGTCATCACGACTAAAGCATGCTTGGTTCACTGTCTGTATTTCTGCATTTCTGTTCAGCCTGTTTTTCCCCTGAACGGGTAACCAAGTCATTTAGAATATTCTGTTTCTAAACATCGAAGAAGGTGAATTTCAGAAATAAAATGTACACTGTGGATCAAAGGTTGACCATTGGATAAAAGGCTTTGTTTTAGAAAGGCGACTGTCCTACACTTAGGAATACTAGAGCCAATCAAACGTGGGATATCGTCTTCATTTGCGGGATGCAACACAAGTGATGCTGCAGATGCCAAGAATCTGATTTCTAATTAACCGAGTGAGCGCTTTATTAATCTATTAAACTTCTTTTAAAGATACTCAAGGAAGGTGAGCTGATTAAAGAGATGTAAATTGTTATTCCACAGAAAAAAAACACATCTGAATGTAATATAATACTGCCCCCTGGTGGTGTGACAAAGTGGAGTACGGTATGTAGGTAGTTTGCCTTTCTTTCTTTTTTTTTTTTTAGATTTATTTTTTAGCTTTTTGTGACTTTTATGGAGAGACAGGACAGTGGATAGAGTTGGAAATCAGGGAGAGATAGGGAATGACATGCGGGAAACCCACTTGGAGGACCATAGCCTCCATACATGGGGAAAACAAATATCGGTCTCTCAGGACTCCAGCTTCTTTCTCCTGTTTTGACTTCTGGGTTGTTTCGACATTAGACAATAACGAATCTTCAGTGTTTGAACGTAGAGAAAATCTGGTTATTGCAGTTCACTTGGCCCCATGTCAAACTGTTTTGTCCTTGTTTCTTTCGGCAGTGGTCGGAGAGAAGGAGAAGATGACTGACGGCGTGAACGTGCGCACCAGGGACAACAAAGTCCACGGCGAGCTGTCGGTGGCCCAGGTGCTGGCTCGCCTCACCCTGCTCAAACAATCCCGCTGTCGGAACGCAGAGGAGGAGTTCTGACCGGGGGGCAAAGAACAATCCAGACTCTTTCGTATGAATACCTCAGCTCACCGTCACACGAGCAGCAAAGTGGAAAAAAAATGATGTGAAGATGGTGAAGTGAAAGTAGTCGGACATGGAGCAGAAATCACACTGAGGACATTCTGATGATCATTAATCCGTCCTACCAAACAGGAAGAGAGAACAGTAGTGAAAGGGAGAAAAGGACAATGTCTCAGTAATGTAATGTAAGTCTGAACTGAAGGAAAGTTACCCAAACACAATGTGGTTGTTGAAGGATTTCAACGGTTGGTCCTCATGGAGAAATCCAGAAACACAATAAATCTTCTGAGCGTGAGGCTTTCATTTTCATTTTCCTTACAGGACAGATTCATGATGTTTATCTGATGAGGCACATTAATAAAAAGGTCTGTCTCTGTGGTCATACCCAGGAATTAAAAACAATCTACTAAATGTGAGTGATTGTTTGTTTTTATTCCCTCCAGAAAGTCGATTAAACAATTCTTGTTTTTTAAAAAGATGAGGTGACAAACCTCGGCGGATCATGTGTGGATCAGGACCAATAAATAGCCTGATACAAATGTGTTTTTGTGTGGTCAGTCTTTGATAACATTAGAAATCCTAAAGCCTGACTTCACCGAAAGTCACACCTCTTTACCAGTCGGCCCACTGGAGCCCTTCTCTGCTGTCAACACGTCTTTGTACGTTCATTGGCTGAAGATTTATTTTTTGGGCTTTTCGTGCCTTTCATGAAGAGATAGGACAGTGGATAGAGTTGGAAACCAGGGAAAGAGAGTGGGGAATGACATGCAGAAAGGGGCTAGGGGTGGAAGTGAACCTGGGCCTGCCGCTCGAGACGAGAGTCTCAATACATGGGATGTGCGCCCTAACCATTGCGCCACCAGTGCGCCCTTCATTGGCTGAATCTTAATTTCCTCCCGCAGCATGGGCCATTCTAGACAGGGGCCAACGGAGGGCCAGTGCCCCTGTTACACTGAGCTGGCCACCCCTCCAACAGGAAGAGCCCCCCTCATAACACACACACAGAATTTGAGTCAACAACCGGATTCTTAATCTAGTATTAAATTCTGTTACTGAAACAAATATTTAATGATGTGCGCTATTATTTGGCATAATATATATTTATTAAAGCGATCATCTTTGTCTATATTTCACCTGGGTTTAATTTCCCCCTCTGAAGAAAAAACAACTGGTCCCAGTTTGGCCCCCTCACTAAAATCTGCAGGTGCCCACCTGCGGACAGGGTGCATAAGAAGCTCATAAAATCAGCGAGAGATCACACACTTTATGGTCTGACAGCGGGACAGACCTGAACCCTCACAGACTTAGTGGGGAACCATAGACTGTAAATATTACTGGACGAACCCTGACCCGTCTGTGACATAGGCAGAAAATGAGTCCAATCGACGGCCGCATCCATATTGGATTTGCAGTCTCAACCTAACTTCGGATCAACCTAGCTACAGCAGTAAGGCGGGACCGGCGGGACTTAGCTCCGCCCATTCAGCTCGACGTTAGCAGTCCACTTCACAGCATAGCTAACAGCTAGGCTGCTATCATCAACTATTCCTGCTCATCCTGAGAAAACTCTACAAACAGTAAGTTAACATTTAACTTTTCTACAACACAGTTAAAACGAATTATATTCAACACAAATATTTAATTAAAGTCTTAAAACTACACTTTTTTAAATATACAACTATGGTTATTAGTTATTTGTCAGAGCAGTTAGACTTTGTCAGTGTTAGCAGAGAAATACATTAACAAAGTTTTATCCATAAACTGTAAATAAATATGAGACATCCAGAAGAAATCAATATTACAAAGCATACAGTTCATGTTACTGTTCTGACAAAAAGAGGAATGTCTGTGTCTTATATTTACTGATGTCAACAGCGATGAGGTGAACATGACAACTGAAAAATAAATATTTAGTATTTATTATAAGACATTTGTTTTCTATTGAACCTGTGAAGTCATGGAGTCTGTGGACAGTGTCAGCTTCACACCAAAAACTTTAAGTATTAGAAAAAATAGTATTTAAGACTGGCATCTATTATGATGAGTTGCAGCTACCTTGTTCAATATTATTCCTGCAGATGTGGCTCATAACAAAACAACAGCCTGAGCTGTCACATGTAGTTAACTGTACATTTTGTCTTGTCTGAGGCATTAATTGAACACCTTTGTATTTCTCCTATAGACACAGTGTGGATTATTGGTGACTGGTCCGTCGAGGTGCCCAGAGAGCTGCAGAGACAGAGGAAGAAACCTGAGCCTCAACAACATCTGTATTTGTTGGTTCTTCTGGGGTGGACTTCAGTTGCTTCTCTTCAACAGCTCGCTGTGAGGGAGGTCTCCCCCGGATGGCCTGAGTGATGTCACCCACAGGCTGAGAGCTGAGGCGGGTTTTAAGAATCTTGACAAACCGTTACACCGCGCCCACCTGTCAAGCTGGTCAGCTACACGCCTTATTGTGAATAACTCTTATCCTTCATCAAATCAAAACTGATGAGTCATCAAAACATTCACCCCCGTACAGTGTGTGTCCATCGAGACATGAGCTAATCACACCTATTTGTTTGTTTTGTACCAAGCTGTAAACATGTTCATCTCTGCTGTAAAAACAGACTTTTTTTAATGTTGTTTTTCAGATTAAATAAATATTTCTATATAAATGCACTCCTTTATGTCTACTTATGAGTATACATTTCAGATTAATGCTCAACTCAATAGCTTAGGGAAGGAAGTCTACTTTTACACAACTTCTTATTCTTTTGATAAATACTAATGTAGTTCATTTCTGAAAGTGGGATGGAACAGAGTCATTGCAAAATGATGACCTTAAACACAGCCCCATTCTTAAATCAAGATACATGGAGAGTAAATAAGATCAATAACTTGTGAATAAAAACACAGTTAAAAATGATTTAGAAATGTAGTCTTCCCTGATCAATATCACATAATATCAACTTCTCCCATCTAAACTGGACAAAGGGTTTTAAAATGGGAAGAAAATGTTTGATTGCAAGTTGTTTGGAGGAGATCTAGTTTTATTTGAACAGCATGAATACAGTCTTCCAAGGTGCAAACCCTCCTCCTCCTCCTGAAGCCTGTGGAGCTCCTTCATGTACTGCTGTCTTATCTGCTGGCCATCTTCTCTCAGCAGAACTTCACTGTTGAAAAGTCATTCAGAAGAAGCTTGAGCATGTGACATGGATCCAGGAGAACATGGACTTTTAGTGAACGGTCTTCAGGATGACAAAGAAAGAGAGAAAATATCAGTTATTCATTAAATCATTTTTTTGTTCTCATCTATTTTTCTGTATTCATCTGTGTGTAAGAGCACATTTATAAATTCAACAGTGTACTACCCAGACAACAAAGGTACAGTATTCAGGTAATCAACATCTATTCAAAGTTAAGAAGATAAACATTATTGTAATCATGCTGTTTTCAGCTCTCTCACTCACACAATGATATTCCACATCAAATTGTCTCAGATTTTGTGTGAGGAAAAATTAAGCAGTTTATTGTGGATAGTACTTCATCTTAACATGAAACAAATATAACCTGAATTATTTAAATCATTAACAGGTCCCAACTCTCTGTGCTTTAGTACAGAACATACAGTAACTCATTTATTATTAACATGAGCTCAGTACATGGCTGTATTCTTCAAACTATTTCTTATACTTTATATCTATGTGCTTTAAATCTTATTTTCATTCCATATGTTATTTATATTTTATATTTCTACTGCTATATTCTGTGTATGAGTTCAGTGAAAATTAATATGGTTATTAATATAGTTCTTAATGGTTACAGATGCTCTTACAAAGTGAAGTTTTTTTTATTTGTTAACAGTTTGCTCAAATCAAAGACACTACATCAACCATGTAACTTTAATGTCATCCTCTATAACCTACACAGCACATTAGGTTCAGTTCAGTTTATGTTACTGACGGATAATTACTACACAAAGTTTGTTTTTTAATGTCCACATTTACGTGGAGTATAACATTCATCATAACATCAGATAACCACCGAGATGAACCTTTAGCTTCTAACATCACACAACTCACTATTTTCAACAACAACATCTTAACAACAAACATTTCTAAACCATTGACCGTAAATAATGTAATGTAAATAATGTAAATAATGAGCTACACAGTTAGCCGACTGGTTTACAAGCTAACGCTAAACAAGCTAGGTCCGTAAATATAAACACATGAGTAAGCAGTAAATATAACACTACTATATCACTTACCGAAAAAAACTGAAGCATCAACTTGTTGGATGGTCTGTTAACCGCACAGCAAGCCATGTATGTTGTCAGATATGTGTTAAACAAACTCTCCAAACGAAGTAAGAAAGAGGAGAAATCAGACGGATCAAGCTGTTAGCCTCCTGACCTGCTGACCTGACAGACAGATGCAGCGCGCAGAGCTGTCAATCAAATCTGACACAACCAAATATGGGCATAGTCGTTTTCCTTAAAGAATAAAATCCGATGAGTTATAAAAAAATTCACCCCCCCACAGTGTGAGGAGAAGGGGCCGTCAACTTCTCAGATACATCTGGTTTTTTGAACCAGGCTGTAAACATGTTGATTCCTGTGGTAAAAACGGGCTTTTTTGGCTGTGGGCTTATGGCACTTCCGGCGCTTCTGCAGCCAGCCTCAAGAGGAACCTCGAGGAACTGCAGTTTTTTGTACTTCCGCATAGGCTTCATTTTTCGAGACCGGAGGTTGCCCCTTGGTGGGAACGCGCATCAAAGTCAGTCAGTGTGTGAGGGTGGACAAAGACATTCAGCATTTTAGAATACTGTACGAAACCCAGAAGTTGGCATCCATGCAGGCTACTGAAATCCCCTTGTAGCTCCCTCAGATAACAACACGAATCATGAGGTTTTGATTAAAATACAAGGTTTATTTAGTCCTCCAGACCAACCCGTGAGAACTGAGATTGAGAAAGG